TTTCTAGGTACTTGTAACAATCAAATTAGAGATTTAAATTTTAAAAAATTCCATTTACAATAACACAAAAAAACATAAAATATTTGTGAATAAATTTGGCAAAAGACCTCTATACTGAAAACTCTAAACCACTGCAGAGAGAAATGAATAGAGATCTAAATAAACGGTGACACACCATGTGCATGGACTGGAAGACATCAATTTTCTGTAAATAAACCTGCTATGGATTACATGCAATTCTAATCAAAATCCAAACAGGTGTTTTGTAAAATTGATAAGTGGATTCTAAAATTTACATACAAATGCAAAGAACCTAGGATGAAAAAGTGTTAAAGAGAACTTACACAATTTGATTACAAAGTTCCCTATAAAGCTATATTAATCAGAACAGTTTTATATTGGCATAAAATTCAAAAAATAGACCAATGAAACAGAACAGAGTTCAGGTAAGAATCCATTAAAATATGTTCACAAAAACACAAAAGTACTTATAGCAGTGACATACATTGTTTTCAAAAACTGGAAATAATTCAAATGTCTATCAACAGTAGAATGGATAAATAAATGTGTGGTATATTCACACATAATATCTACTCAAAAATTTTTAAATGAACTACTGATAAGCACATAAACACTATGTTGAGTGAAAAGAAGCCAGACACAGAAGGTTAAATTATCCCATTTAGTTGAAATTCAAGAACAGGCGAAACTATACTACAGTGATAGAAATCAGAACAATGGTAATCTATGTGTGGTAGGAATTGATTGGAAGGAGGCACAAGAAAACTTTCTGGGGTGGTGGGAACATTCTCTATATTTGAAGTAAACAAGTGCATATATTCATAAAAACTGATTGACCGGTATGCTTAAGATGTTTGCATCTCACTGTAAATTTTACTTTTAAAGAAACGTATTAGGACTTCTGGTCACAGGATTTCATTAAGAGAGTGACAATGCAAACCAGACAGGGACAAGATATTTGAATGCATACATCTAACAACAACAACAAGCTGTATCTAAAAAAAATACAGAGCTTTAACAAATCAGTAAGTAAAAGATAGACAACCAAATAAAAACATGGGCAAACAACATGACTGGGCGTTTCTTTTGAGGATATCATCTGGAAATTTGAGCACTGTCTCCTCACCTAAATTAAAACTGCAAACCCAAATAAGGCTTAAGAATACAACCCAGAAACACAGATCTGGAAAATTTCCTCAAGGATTATCGGTAATTCTTTGGATATTTCTATATCTTGCCCACATGAATATCATAGACTACTCTAAGTAACTAACATTTATTGAGTGCTTATTTTATGTCGGACTTCGTGCTGAAGAATTTATGTACATTATATGTTCAATTCTCACAACTCTGAGGTAGATACAATTATCTCTACTTCAGTGCTCAAGAAATTGGGACACCATTAGGGAGGCAATATACCTTTGCTCAAAATCTTATAGCATTAAGTAGAGAAATCAGGATTCAATCACAGGTCTGCCTAATCCAAAAACTGCATTCTTAAATACTGTACCACAATACTTCCATGTATCTTCAATCTCCTACTGAATAATATTATCATCTTGGGTATTTCCCTGACCTATTGGCCTAACAAGTACAGCAAAAAAGACGATGAGTACTACACTTTTGGTTCTTTTTTTTTTTTTTTTTTTTTT